ACTTTGACACCCTGTGATATGAAGGGCTAAAATGGAAAATGGTATTCAAAAACTCATATTATTTTTGTTCAAGGAATATGTGGTTGATGGATTGACCTCCTTTAAGCGGACAAGCTGTATACTTCATTGCTCCCGAATATATTTTCTTAGTGGGTTGGTAATATTTACGAGCTCTTTTTCCAAGTTAACTCGTCACACCCAAATAGAATATAGAAATAGTGCATACTACCCAAACTGGAGCATTAGCTAGCTTGCCCGCAGGTTATTTCAATCATCCAGGTAAATTAGAATATCAGTTAGGAATAGAATATATTGTTAAACGAACACAGAATGATAGTCATTTCCCACGAGAATGTAGTTTGCAGAATGAGCCATAAGCGAATGCTGGGAAATTAGCATTCCGTGCGAGTTATAAACTAGTTTATTATACGGCTGTAACAGATAATAGCAAAATATTTGTATTTCTTCGACTTGTAGCCATCTGATTTCCTCTTAAGTAATGGTACATTGGACAGATCTGTCATTGCTTAGAATTTGACATTCCATGAGAGAATACATCCATTGTTAAATATATATTGTCCAAGAGCCGGCTGCAAATTGTGAATTTTATCTGATGAAGAAATGATACATGTACCCAAGGCATGTGAACATATTCTATTTTATCGAAAGGCACCTGTGCCAATCACTATCCTGAGCAGAATGAATAAAAATTGCACTCTCCTGTGCGGTAATTTGCACTCTGTTTCGCGATTTGATACCTGTGCCACCCCTCAATCTGAGTCAAATCCATGGCACAGCGATTTATTTGATGCTATTCATTCCGGACACTCTTCCGTCATGTGATTATGAGTTGAAACAAACAGCGAATGGAAGAAGATATTCGCAAAGGAAACATAATCATCTACACGTGCCACGACTCAAGTTAGTGGCTGAGCGTCGATATTTCCAAGAATATTTCACCTTCATCTAAAGATAATATCCGATGGACCAGTGTGAAACTCAAACTGTGGATTTGAATCCTGGTCCTAACACCACATGAGTTTAACACTGGTCCATCGGATATTATCTTCCGACGGGGGCGACATATTCTCGGAAATATGGACGCTCTGCCACTTACTTACATCAGATTAAGTTGCGGTTCGTTTGGATAATAGCACAGAATACATGGTCCCCATTCATCTGCTTGTATGTATGTATGTATGTATGTAAGTGTGTGGGCGGTCCGGGACCTGACGCACTTAGGCTTCCCTTTTCGGGCCCATTGTGCACCCACATTCCTGGGATCGCAAGTCAGCCATGGAGAAGACCGATCTCGCGAGCAAAAGAGACTGACTTTCTAGGCCAAATCTTTTTAACATCCTCTGGGTCCAGGATAATGCTCCCAAAATGGATATTCCTTGCTGCCACTATTGCCGCGCATTCAGTGAGGATGTGAGTAGAAGTCTCTTCATCCTGTAGGCACCATCTGCATTGAGGATCCTCCACAATCCCGATCATGCTGAGATGTTTGTTCAGGTGGCAGTGCCCTGTCAGAAGGCCCACCACCAGTTTCAGCTCCTTCCTGTTCAAAGGCAAGAGGGCATTGGTATGTCTTCGTGACGAGTTTCCTATATGGAGTTTGGACTGCCTCATTCGAGGAGCCTTTCTCCAGCTGTCCTGAAACCTTTCCGTCAGGATTTCCTTCATCTTGAAGTTGCTCCAGGATCGAGTGACCCCTAAGATTGGCTCTGGGCCAATTCATTTGCTTAGTGTTTCAACTTTTTATTACATGACGGAAGTGTGTCCGAAGTAATGGCATAAAATAAATTGCTGTGCCGGTGATTTGTCTCAGATTGAGGGGTGGCACAGGATAGTGATTGGCATAGGCACTGTTCGAAAAAATAAGTTGTTTTCACATGCCTTTGGAACATATAACATCTCGTTATCAGATGACTTTCAAAAATTACGTATTACGGAAGTTCCAGAAAACTGAGAATATTTTAGCTTGAACGAGCCCCTTGAAAAACCCATCATGAGAAACTACAGAAAACTCATATACATATCGAGTCAGCTCGTCGTAAAAGACCCTGTATATCTTTAGAATTCTTCCATTTTCTTTGTTTCTTCGATCAGTCATCAGTGTCAAATGGCATTCTAAGCTACTCCTTACTCTCGTTAAGTCTCTGGAAACTACGTGAATGCCTCCATCTTTCGAGAACCTATGGCCTAATTGCTTTTTGTCAAATCGTCGAAACATGTCTTGCATTTAAATGCTGTCTTGGTGTGGCTAGACTACTTGAAGAGCAGTGAGAGCGAACTGGATTTTATTGTAAATAGAATATTTCCTGGAAGTGATTTTGATAGTCACTCCAACAGTATTATCTAAGTATAGTTATTTCAGAGTATGTAAAGCAATGTTTGTAAAAAATTATGTATGTCTCTTGCAAGATATTGCGTCTGACATACGTTTGAGCCCCTTTTTCACGAACATTTGCTAAACTATAAGACTTCCATCCTTTTGTAAATTTTGAATCTTACGCTTATTACTGTAACTATTGTTGATATTGGTGGAATGCATGGCTTTTATTTTAACTTAATAAAGGAGTTTGCCTAAATCTCTGGTTTTATTGTATTATTTTTCAGTACGAATGAGATATATTGTAGATTATTCCTTCGTTTTTTTCTATAATGTATGTATCGAGTTATAAGGATATCTACAGAGTGTCCAAAAATGTCATGTCGTGAATAATGGCGCTGGTTGACTGAGCCAAAATAATGTTTGTACTTCATATAAAAAAAATGTATATCATATACTTCGTTACCGAGTAGATGACTTCGAAAGTTTGAATAAAAAATATCTCATGTGTAACTTTCAAACAGTAGCCATGGTATCAATGATAGTCGAGCAACTAAATCAACTTATACTGTCCTTGTCAAAATTGACATCAGATTTTCTTGAACGAAGTTAGATATTTTTTTTTAGTGAACTAAGTACTAACATTATTGAGGCTCACCCTATCAGCCCTATTATTTACGACAATACTTTTCCGGACACCCTGTATACAGGAGAACAAGTTGTTGAAGATGCGAGGACTTTGATTTTCCAACACATTTCACTAATTGGAACAATTCAAACTTTTAGATGGAACTATATTTCATAATTCTGTTCACTTTCAATATACAATGTAGTGATAGAAAGAAGTAATATTGCTTTCTCGTCTTCACCATGACGTATAAATGATCGGTCCTTACAAATGCAAATATTGTATGTAATGCACAATAGTATATATTTATGATGTTGATAACATAGGTTTGCAGCTTCGAAAATATATTCATCATGGTAAGATTATCAAGTGGCATCGATTGTAGGTAATAACTGCCATTTTATCCAAACATGGTCGAATCATGTTTGTTTTGATCACAGATTAGTGGTTTTGATTTTCTTCTAAAACAGTGCATCCTGTATCGATCTGAACAAAATCACATATTCCTTGGGAAACTTCCATACATATTCAAATATATCTTGTGATGTAGATATCTAACAGAAAACACTCTTCCTAGCTAAAACCGTCATGAAATATTGGATGATTATATCTGTCAAATAATGGAAGTCGTGACACCATACATCAGAATGGTACCTAATGACTGATATTTTAGGTATAAATCATTACGCTTCATTGTGTTTTCTCAATTCTATATTTTGATTCGATGAACAATAGAAGATATATATAATTCTAATATCATTGACTTCTATTTATCTTGCTTGGTTCTAAACTGAAAAATGAAGACCCGATTTGAATCGTATTAATTCAATGGCCATAATAAGTATTGATTTTGTTTTGTTCTAAAATTGTTCTATCCGTCATTCGGTTGCCCCCTTACGAGCAACCCTCAGAAGTCTTCGAGAGTCTTGTGCGAGCAAGGAATGACGGGGGCCTTATCTTTTAACGTGTGATCCCAAACACTTTCTTGGGCCATCAGAAAAATTTCTGCAGTCGACGGGACCCAAACCGTTGATTGATATATTACGCTTATAAGCGTAATATATCAATCAACGCCCAAACCCACGACCGGCAAGCGAATGCGGATTAGAATATGGACACTCTGTCCGCACGGCTACCTGGCCACCCAGTATAATTTGTAGATTTCGAGAATTCGTCCAGTTACCGATCACACTGAATATCTTCAATATGAAAGCTTATACAGGGTGATTCTCGAAAACACCAAACGATAATTTCTTACGTGAGCACCCCCTATCTCGAAAACTAAGCTCCAAAACTCATCAAGTTTATGTGTACATACCTACTGTTTTCATTATTGCGAGTACCTCCAATATCCCCAGCATCCATAATTCAATTTTCCCAATTATTGAAATTCGAAACACTGTGTGAACTGAAAACCAAAAAGTCGAAATTATGAAATCAGTGATTTCTTCTTTCATGTCTGTAATGACTGATGGTTCACTACGGCAAAGTTATAATTTCATTTGAATAAATTCGGAGCAATAATTTCTACAAGTCAGTTTGTTCAAAGGTTTCGAATTGATGTGTTTTCACCAGAGTTCATTACAAATGTATTCTATTCAGAAAAGAGTAGTTACGCTGGGAAGTTGATGAATAAATTTAGCAGTTTTATAGGTGAATTTGCATTGGAATGGGACTTTCATTGAAGGACAAGATTTTCGGTAGCTAGTTCAAGTGAGTATAACAACGAGTATTCAATCAAATGAATTTGGTGAATTGTGTATAGGTATTTGAGATGAGTGAAGTGAATACCTTTTTATAATTTTGGCATGTAATTTGACACTGTTCATTATTTCATTAATTTCTTCATTCGTGTTAAGAAGTTAGAACTGAAATTCTCCTGTGATACATCACACCTATCACTTTCGACATCAAGGAATGTTCTGGAAAATAAATTATCTTATCCCTATTGCATATTCACAATGAACTTTCGTGTGCGTTACTATGGGAAATGTATCAAGGTCTGAAGACCTTGGAAGAAATGAAAAACTTCTTCTGTAAAAATAAAAAACTTTTATTGCCTACCTCAACTAAAATATTCGATCAAGATGAATCTTGTAATCCGGTGAAAACATATTTACAACAGGAAGCAACAGACAATAAATACACAGAAATTCTAAGCATATGTTATACCAGCCTTGGCATACTTTGATTGAGAAGGTGCTGAATAGTACTGCTGCTCAGGAGCAGCAGCTTGAGAATAGTACCCTTGAGCAGAAGATTGCGCTTGATGTTCGTAAATAGGTGCAGTCTGTGATTGCTGATAGTACTGCTGAGAAGGAGCTTCATAATTTATATGAGAACTTGCTTCCTTAGCCTGATATGCAGCAGGAGATACAGCCTGGGCATACGACACCTTCTGGGCAACAGGTTGGTAGGCAATGTTCTGCGACTGCTCAGCCCTCTGGATCAACTGTTGGTAGATGTCTTCGTAGCTAGGGGCCCCAGAACTGCTTCCTGCGTCTGAGGTGTACTGAATCCTGGGATTGTACTGGGATTTGGAGGGCGATGTGTATTGCACTTTCGGGGAGCTAACGTACTGTACTCTTGGTGCTGGTGATGTATATTGGGCCTTAGGAGATGGGGCAACATTGTAGGACTGGCTTGCTTGAGATGGGGCGTTTTTTCCAGCTAGTTGGTGCAGCAATCCTAGGTTGTTGTATTCTACTACAGGGCTCGAGTAACTGAAGCTAGAAACATCAGCTGCTGATGAGTACCGGATATGTTGTGGTTGTGGTTGCAGTTGTGGTTGAGGTTGGGCAGCGTAGGCATACTGTAATAAAAAGAAAAGAATCATATGTGGATATAACGGAATAATGTTTTGATTATCGTTATTATCAATGAATTGTTGATGTACAATTTTTTATGATAATCGTGATTCGAGCAGGTGAGTAGTATTGAGAGTTTTGACATACATATAAAGCCATGCGAAGGGTTGCTTAATCATTTTATCCTAGAAAAATTGAGCGATCGGAAGATCTCAGTAAAAAAAAGTATTCTAGTTTACTTATCTCCAATTATAGAGTTCGCTGAAAAAAACTACATAGCGTATAAATACATCGAGGCGATATAATTCTTTCACGTTTTCTCGGGAATTCTTTCGAATTGATGTTTTTCTAAAATTGTTCTTATCTGTCATTCGGTTGCCCCCTCACGAGAGTCACGAGCAACCCGCAGTAGTCATCAAGAGACTTTTGCAAGCAACGAATGACGGGGGCCTCACCTTTTAACGTGTGATTGATTTATATCTCTCATTCTTGTTCCCCTTTGATAAGAAATTATTATAATTGATATGCGTCCATGAATAAGTCGACGTAACGAATCTCTGTTTATCTTCTCTTCTGTTGAATTGTTGGCAACTCAGATCATACGGTTACAATAATAAAAATCTACAGGGTGGGTCACGGTGGATGGCCTATTAGAAGTATCTGGAGAACGAAGAAACAGAACATTCTGAAAATAGAGATGCTTCGATAATTGAACATTCTCTATTCGTCTAAATTGTTTTCATCGATACAGTGTTGCCACTTCTATCAGAAACAACTAGGAAATTCGTTATTTTTAACGGAGCACCCTGTATTTCATTGCATTTTCAGATTCTTCCTAAAGATCTGATTTTATCAATGTATCACACTTGGAGTCTAGCAGGAATGATTACAGAGATATAGGGTGTTCAAAATCGAGATTTTTCAATTTTGGGATTTCTTTGTGTCGAAAATATTCATTATCGATCATAACGGTTCACATGTCCCTATCTTTACTTTCGATCCACTTCCTACTGACATTTAATTGGAACATATACAGGGTGATCAGAATTCTGAATCTTGAAGCACCCTGTATTTTTTCCAATTAAATTCCAGTAGATGGTGAATCAAAAGTTGAGATAGAGACATGTACGCCGTTTTGATCAATAATGAATAGTTTCGACAAAAAAAAATCCAAAAATTGTAAAATCTAGATGTTGAATACCCCATATCTGGCAAAACTGTATCGATTTAAACATTTCAGACGGATAGAGAATTTTCAATTATCAAAACATCTCAATTTTCTGAATGTTCTGTCTTTTCGTTCTCCTGATACTTCAAATAGGACACCCACCGTGACCCACCCTGTATAATGTGCTGAAAAATTATGTCATGTGATGAAGTCTCTATATACCGACGCCATTGTATATGAATTCTTGTAATCCCAGTGATTTTAAAAGAACAGTGGTTCAACACAGACAGATAAAGTAAACTTTTGGAGACTGTTTCAATAATCAAATGAAAAATATATCTAACCTACCAAAATAGGATACAGGAAGGTTCAAATTAACGTAATGTCTAATTTCGAAAACCAAGTCGGCATCTTTAGTAACACAGCAAGAAAAATGAAGATTAGCTGCCCAGATAGCATAATGTCATTCATAGAACGTCCATAGGATATTCTTACAGATTATTTGAATAATCTCAGAATATTCTCATAATATGATACAAATATTTCAGGGAGGTTTCATGAAAATTCGGGATGGACTGTTTTAAATTTTCTGAGAATATATATTGAATGGAAAAGAATATCAAAAGAGAGTTTGCTCCGGTGGAATTGCAAACCTACTATCTTGTGATTGAATTTTCACGAATCTGAAACCTCACCACTCCGCCACGAACTTTATTAATGAATAAAATGAATAGCATGATGAAAATTGTGACTGTAGAATAATGGGTTGTGTCAAGGTATACATTATAAATATTGATAGAGTAGCAACATAATTATCATATAATTTGATACGATTCTCAATATCCTCAGAATATTCGAGAAGAATATTCTCAGAACATTCAAAAGAATATTTTGAGAATATTTCAAATAAAATGTTCATAGAATATTGATGTAGAATGAGAATATTCTATGATGATTATGAGAACATTCTATACGAATATTCTGAAATAAGTATATTTTTTGAACGTTGTCAGAAAATTCATAATATATTCTGTGTTATATAAGTGACTGAATAGTATCAATCTAGATATTCTGCAGGAATTACCAATCACCACTGGTAATTTCTGGCGATATTCCTCATTTTTTCGTATGCAACCAAATATCGGTATTCATGTGACAATCTATAACATTGACCTGGAACATGAATCTCAAAAGTTTAGTAATGCAGATGATTCCTCTATAATTCTACGAGGATCATTATAAACGGTAGCTGAGGTATACCTATTTATTCGATTTGTTCCTACGAAGCGGTAGTGGAAATAAAATGTTGCATTTAATAACTCTTTAGTGTTACCTTCGAGAAGAGGAAACACTTTCCTTATTCATTTAAGACCACCAGATAATTATTCAGCTACGTTTTGCGCACGTTTACCCATTACCCATCATACGCTTTGTTAATTTCTTGAGTAAATAATCGAATTATTTTGTGACGATGAACATTCACTAAGTGGAAACGTCTAAGAACTCTGAGCTTGAATCCTGAAGCAGGCTGTTTTAAACATTCTTCCGTGAGATTTTCTTTCACTGGAATACATTAAAGGGTGTAAATGGGATTAGGCATGATTCCCTCTGAATTCGTTTCTCATATATACTATACAAACTAGGATATTTTGTAACGGATGGGGAAATATAATGTTATCTACTCACTGAATTGTAAGAGGGTGTTTGCTAATTCATTCCAGGGAAAGAAACTGTCAGGTCACTCCCAAGGGAGAGGAAAGGAATTCATGGAAGATTCACACCTTTCAGCATGTTGACATTCATTGGAATTGTACTCTCTTGTCTTTTTGTAAATCTTGAAATTGAAATCGGGATGAAATTCGAAATAGTTGTTTTACCCAATCGAAAATTATACTTTGTTTGATCGTTTCTTTCCAACACCATTACTTATGCTTCTCAAGTCTGGAATTGGTTCCTCACTACCAAATTATTTTATTTATTAGGCAATGGTTCAGAGAGCCATGCACTTTTTATATCGCAACTTTGAAGTAGATCCAACACGATGTGCTGAGACAATTGCTGAAATCATCATGTTGGGGTTGCAAACCTAAATACGGAACACTGCAAGGAGAACATCTTCCGGCGATAACGCCTGGTTCAGTGGGCGCTGCTAGAGCTGTCGCTTCCAAACAGGCAGCATTCCATCGATGAAATAAAAATCCAGGCCCTGATACTAGAGTAGAATATGTCGAGGCTAGAGGCATATGCGATGAGACAATTCGATCATCAAAGGATGCTCATAATACCAAAATAAGATCAAAACTTGATGAATGTTCTAACAGACCAGGAGAAAGCCAACATTTTTACGCATTTATTTGCTAGAAATTCCACTCTGGATTCATCTTCATAATCAAATATAACGCCAATTGATAGTCATATGCCTGAGATCACCTTTCGCAATGTACTATAAGGAAGATTTCATTGGTCAACGGAGTTTCATCTGACTCTCTTATCATAAATGCTGTGTTCCGCAAGGATCAATTCTAGCACCAACACTATTTCTACTCCATATCAACGATTTGTTGAAAGCAACTCCATGTCCAATACACAGCTTCTTGAACGATAGTACCCTCCATACCGCCTTTTCTTCCAGGGCTCCAATACTAGTCAGGCATATCAGAAACGAACGAGGGAGACATGTTGACACAACATAAATATGGACTTGGTAACAATTCTCTTATGGGAATCTATTATAACACGGTAGATTTCAATGCAAATAGAACACAAGCTTCCTTTTTTTCTAGAAAAGCCGATCTCACTGTGCCCAACATGAGCTTGTCAGGAGTAACCATACCTTTGAAGACATCCACTTCGATGCTTGTTATCACTATCAGCATTAACCTTTCTTGGGAAAATCCCGTGAAATCAATTGCTAAGAGTGCATCCCAAAAATTAGGTTCTCTGTTTCGAGCCACTTCCAGTCAGCTGCTTATGATCTATAAGGCACAGATCCAACCTGTCCTGGAATACTGTTCCCACTCACTCTTTGACATCATTGAAACACCGTAGAAAGGTCGGCGACCTTTCACTTTTCTATCGATACTTACAGGAGAAATGTTCTTCGGAAATCTCTGCTATCATACCTTCACTAGCAATACCAGTCAGGCGAACTAGACAAGCCCAGTCAGCACATCCTTTCCTTGTCAACCTCGAAAGAAGTCGAACAGCACTTTATCAAAACTCCTTCATCTATAGAACGGCTACGCTGTGGAATTCATTGTCTGAGGAAGTATTTCCAACAACAAATCTCCAGAAGTTAAAAAAAAAACTCCAATACCTACCTTTTGTCCCTATTCTCCCTATAGGAATGCACGATGTTCTTTGAACAAAAAAAATTCGTTTCGTGGGTGATGCCTCGCTCACAAACTCACTTACTTCTCTGGAACACCGTAGAGAAGTTGGCGACCTGGCTGTATTTTATAGACATCTCCATGGGCGATGCTCTTCTGAAATATCAACAATTGTTCCTCCCTTGGCAGCTCCCGCAAGATTAACCAGTCGAGTTGAGGCTTCAGACCCCTTCGTGGTCACTTTGAAGACCTGCAGAACAGCTGTTTCCAAAGACTCGTTCATCCAACGAGCAGCGAGGCTCTGGAACACATTCCAAGGAAAGTGTTCCCGAGGCATATAACCTCCAGAAATTCAAGAAGAACACCAATTTCTACCTTATCCCCCTTGGTTCTCACGATGTTCTTTGAACATTACAGGATATTCATTTTGGTGGAAACCAGAAAATAAAAAAAAAAGTTGAGAACCAACTCCCCAGAAGTCGAGACTTGTGCGTGGTTAGGAAGAGCG